AGCTTACTTAGTTTCAAAACCATGTATTGCTCATACTGTGAGAAATATATTTTCTCACGGCACTTTGTCAACACCACATACATTTCCATGAAGAATCAACAAAAATAGACCAAAACTGAATTGGCTGCTGTTCAGCTTTGAATAGTTGTCACAACTGTCAGAAGAAGTTTTTTAAATTCTTTAGGGTAGTTCTCATTAGTGCTTTTGATGGAAATCGCATTTTCCATCAAATATTATTCCAACCATTCATGATATATAATATGATATATATACCGAGATGTGACGATTTTGATAAATACACCGCCAGAGACAGAGATAATGGAAAAAGCTGCGAAAGTTGGCTTTGTTTACGGAAATTTCAAGAAAAAAGAATGAATTGGCATACACGGAAAATGTATGGAATCTAAAAAAAAAAAAATACAGAAATAAAATCTTTTTCGGAAAGAGTACTTTTTTAAAATACTTTGAGGAACTAGGAAAGGCGTCTACTCTTTGGTCACAATATTCAATGTGGCATAGTGCCACATCATAAAATGAATACCAATATTCACATTACTTCGAATTCTTTGGATAAGTGCAGTTGTAGAAAAAGTATAGTGTGCAACATGTGGGGAAAAGTACTTTTCTCACTCGTGTGTTTGCATCACTCGCCCTTCAGGCTCGTGCCACAAACTTTCACACTCGTGAGAAAAGTTGAACTTTCCCCACTTATTGCACAATATACTATTTTCTGTGCGATAATCGGTCCCAGAGATAATAATATTTTTGCATAAGCTATCACATCCTGGAGTCCTGCGCATACATCATGAAACACCCTGTATTTCAAAAATACTTTTTCAAATCTACCCAAGAATGAACAAATTCATGATCATTTTACTAGGAATTCTACTCAATTGCATCTGCCTGGTAGTATGTAGTTAAGCTGTATAATAAATCTTGCTGAAGACATGAAATCGTCTTCAAATATTTCTATGTTCAAAAAGAAACTAAATCATTTTGATCATGTGAATAAATTATTTTAATGATATTTCAATGTTGTTCGTACTTATTTGTCTAGTTTCATTATTGTTTTATATTCAACTTCATTTTTTCAAGTTGATTTTGTTTACCGAGTATGGTTTAACTTTTTAAATATACATTCGCCTTATACAGTGTTTGACCAGTGAATTAGTTGGTATTTTGCAGATGTTATGAGTTTTCTCTAATTTTATTTGTGGATCAAAACTCTTTCAATAATACTTTCATTGATTGTTTGAAATAACCCAAGTCATATTAATTTATTCACTTTGCCAGACTGTCTTGTGAATTAATCATTTTCAGTGTGACATGCACCAACAATAACTACTAGATCAATAACAAATCCATGATGAAAGGATACAATTTGCTGAAAGTATGTTCTTCAGATGACACCTATACCTAACTTTTCACTTACGTCCATCATATTTTTGATGAGAATGTTCAATCTAAACATTAGGTATCCAGTTTTATCTCATGAAAATTCATAAAAATCTGACTGATAAAAACTTCAAGATTTTATTTTGCACATAGTTTCTAATAAACACTTCTCGTCGAACATATTTATACAAAGTCATAAAAATAATGCATTAACTTTTGAGAATTTAAACAATTGTTCCATCATTGTCGAATGTAACCTCAATTTGCTTGGCTTCAACTTCACCAACAAACATGAAAACTTCAGAAGTGCAGCTTTCCTCTACCGTTACATTCGCAATAAAAAACTCTTCCTCCTTCTTCTTTTCCTCGTTGTGAAAACACGGGTCATCTATGTGATGCTGCCTCTCAATTTCTATGAACTCTCTTGTACTAGCACAGGTCGTCTTGTGAGCAGTTTCTATCAATTCGATGAAAAACAGTTCACGTGGTGTCAACGGCGAAGAAAGATTCTGGGATATTGGTCTCGTCTTGTCCAACTCCAAACTAGTTGGTCGTTTTTTGGGCCGTACGCTGATTTCTATCTGTGTGTCTTCCTTCAACAAATCAGCAACTTCCACGTAATGAGCTGAAGGTAAAGTCTTCATATGCATGTCACCATTTTCCTCTGGCTCGGGATTGATAATACTAACATAATAATTGGCTTGGTCCTCTCTGTTACGTTCACATCTCCATTTATACACGAATACTGCCAGAATCAACAAATATACGATGAAAGCAATTACCAAGAAACACTCGGTATATCGCGGCTGTGTGTACAGTTGATGCGAAACATAGATAATGGGGCACAGCACAATCCAGTAAAACATTGTGAACACAAGTATATAAAATGGCAAAGTGATGAAATAAAAAGGATAAGACCAGGTTTTGTTTGTTAGGAAGGCATTTTCCTTTTCTATATTGACGCTTGTTTTTTCACGAGACATAGTTTTCAGGTAAGTTGATCTAGTGGTGCTTGATAGGAAGTAGGAAACTGATTGTTTATTTGGAAACGGCAGTACACAGGATGGTTTAACCTGTTATCAGTTTCCTTTTCAGATTAAATTCAACCACAAAGCCTAGTTTCGTCGAGTGTCGATTCTTGCCTTAATAATAAGGTAGAAAATAAAATATTTTACAAAAGACTCCTATAAATAGTTATTTAAACACCAAGGTAGTAAAAAATATCGTTATAACCAGGGACAAAGATTATATCCGGAGGCTTCAGTCGACCCGTGGTAATAGTATTCTTTACAACCCAGGTGTATATTAATCTTTTTTTCGCCACTAGCAATATATTTCAATCATTATAGCTCTGTGAAACCGAAATATGGACCTATAGTTACTATAAATGCACTTCTTTTCAATTCTGATTGAAATCTAGTAGCCATGACAGCACATGACAAGTCGTAATTGATAAATACTTACTAGATTCGATTGCATTTTCTGCTGCTGCTATGTCTTCATTGACTATCAGTTTATAAAATGACGAAAACTACCTTGGTAGAAACACACTTTATGTCTTGAAAATGAATAAATAATGGTAGGTTCCATACCCTAGTGGTGGAAAAACGATATTTTTAATTCTCTTAACTTCAACTAATTGAAGAATATTTTACAAATACCTACATTGGACAAGTTCATTACCTGAGTAAGCTACAATGTTAGCAAAAAATAATAAAATTCAGTATCTGACTTTTTTTCTGGCAATTGGATGTTACCAACCTTGTGAAATTGAAAGTTACATATCGTACCAAAAGCTGTCTTCTTATGCATGTTATGTTTCATAATATTGAATTCATAGAAAGATAGATAAACCGTCTGGGAAGTACACTTTTCGCGGACGCGAGAAAGTATCATTATTCCCGTACATTCCGGACCAGGCCGGAAAAGATCACATCGTTGTTACATGCAAATATGAATATCTTGATAGGTATGGTTTTGATTGAGATGTTTATAATTGCTATGGTGTGCCCACTCTTAAATTGTTTCGTCAGACTAACTCTCCATATGAACAATTGAATGCGAGATCGGAACATGGGGTTCATAAATTCGATAATAGATGGCATGAACAATGGAAAATTACTTGAGATTTCAAAATGCGTTTCGAATATAAAAAAATTGAACTAGACTTTCAAGGATGCGTTTTTCTTCTTTCGGGACCTGAAGAGTCCTGTATTAGTATTGGATTTTAAGATTTTCTGCGAGAGAATGTGCAGTCGTCCAAGATTTATCACGTGATTCATTGGGACCAATAAGAACTTGGATATTCGATTTCTTGGAAAGATTTTGCTTCACTTCAACTCTCGTGTGAACCAGGGTTGGCAATGAATGAGAAATTATGATTCCATGACATCTTGGCTCAACTTCTGTCACGAGTGTTTCATTTTCAAAATATTTATTATTTTGTTCGAATTTCAAATGAAAATATTATAAATTAATATGAATGCTGATTCATAAAAGCATTATTGGTTTAATACCCAGGTATTGATATTATATTAGTTGAGAGAGTGTATTGTACTTCTGTATTGGACTAACGTTGCTGCAGTGTGTGAAGATTATTAAAAAATCCGAAAATCTGTTTCATCATAGATCTAATTACACAATTGTGTGATTAGATCTATGGTTTCATGTACCAAAAGTGAGTTAAGAAATTATCATCACAGGATTTTCTTGAGTTAGGACTTGGGTCGTTAATGAATTGAAAATTGTGAAAATGAAATTGTGAAGTTGAATGAATCTGTCATGATGCATGTAAATCTGGTTTGAAACTTCGGAAATTTACCAAGAATCTCCCACACCTCGCCATTATCACAAAGTATGCGATTTGGAGAGATTTTCAAACTCTCTTCAATAGGAAGTAACAACACCATTTGAATTTCTATACATCTATGTTTAAATGCGGTTAATCTCATAGAAGCGCAAAAAACTATAGGAAGAAGCAGCGATAGTGAATTTGAAAATGTGTGAATGTGAAAACTATTATAGCCTGAAAAATCGAAGTATAAAAACGTCAATGATTTGTTCAGGAAATGGACGGATAAAAATGCAAAACTATTACAGAGGATGTAATTTTGGCTTGTTTGGCGAAAGTATCTGGAACTTTCAAATGCTCAACCCTGTTGAGCATGTACTCTATGACCAAAAGTGCCAATGATATTAGTGAAGAAAAAATAAATGCAAACATAGCCACTTTCCCAAAGGTTATCATATATCTTGAAAAGAAGATTGTTGGTTATAAAGCAAAGATATCAGAAGGCTTCAGCAGTGAACAGATCAACAAATTATAATGTTTCTGTTAGTACCTACCTATATTCTGTTAGAATTTCACTATTCAAAACAAGAAAGATCGAAATGTTCGAAATTTCGTTATACAAAGGAATATAAGAAAGAAAATTTGTGTCTCATTGATTCGTTATTCTACAAGATTGCCGAAAAAATCGTGTACGCAGACGTCCAGGATTCGCCTTTGGCTCTTTCTAGGATTTTGTATACCCTTCAATAAAACAGTATTTCCCGGACTTATCACGTGAATTACTATTCTCTGAATTTAGTTACAAACCACTCACCAATAAGTGCGTCATCAGGCTCGTTGACGTTCTGCACCAACCGGCTCAGCAACTTGAAGACCAACGCCAGCACGTCCAAGTTCGTATCGGACTTGATGAACACCGGCAGGCAGGCCGGCCGCAGCAGCCCCCAAATCCGGATCAGCACCAGCATCTCCCTGAGCATGTTCAGCGCCTTGACGTCCCTGAGCAGCTCGTAGGCCTTGCCGGCGGCCGGCCGGCTGTCGGAGAACTTGACCAGCAAGTTGAGCGCGAGGTCGGCCACCCATTGGATGAGCTGCTGCAGGCTCTGCAGGGTGGTCGTTTCCACTGTGAACTCTTTGGCTTCGAGGTGCATCAGCGTCAGGGCTTTGTCAACGTCGCTTTGGCCTTCAGCGATGACACCTAGGAATGTCTTCAGTTAATATTCTTGATTATCAACTCTAACAAGATGAACTATCCTTATGAGAGAAATGAAGCTAGAAATTCTACTCACTAGGGGGAGGTTTTTACATGAGCGACAATGTGAACTACAACCTCTTATAATAATTTTTGCTAAATTGAAATCACATGGTTGATATCCGATATAATAAATGCTAGATTGGATACATTATGAACTGACGTGAAATAATAACTTCTGATATCAATTCGAAAGATTAGATTGAATCAAGGAGAGTTGTTTGTTTCCACTGTGAACTCTTTGGCTTCGAGGTGCATCAGCGTCAGGGCTTTGTCAACGTCGCTTCGGCCTTCCGCGAGGACACCTGGGAATGTCTCCAGTTAATATTCTTGATTATTAACTCTAACAAGATGAACCATCCTTATGAGAGAAATTCTACTCACTAGGGGGAGGTAGTCATGAGCGACAATGTGAACTACAACCTCTTTTAATAATTTTTGCTTAATTGAAATCACATGGTTGATATCCAATATAATAAATTCTAGATTGAATACATTACGAACTGACGTGAAACAGCGTTCAAACTCAAACAATAATAATAACTTCTGATATCAATTCGAATGATTAGAATTACCAACCAAACAAAGGTGATTTGTTACATGTAATAAATATACAGGGTGTCCTTAAAAGGTCTTTACAAAAAGCTACCACATATTCTTCAGACCAAAACAATTCGATACAAGCAAACTTACCTCAGTAAAAAGTTGCTTAGTTTGGGCGCTAGACGGCTCTGAAGTTGAAATTTTCAAATCGATTTTGCTTCATAACTTTTGAACGGCTCATGAGATTTTTTTCAAATTTGGTACGTTGGCATAGACTCATCGGGCAATGAAACTCATATCATAATCATAATGAATATCATTCCATGGGCGTAGAACTTGATTTTTTCAGGAAATAAACATCTAAAACTCCTACGCCAATGGAAAAAAATTAGTTTCAATATGAAATCTAAATTATTCAACTCATTCACTACAAAAAAGGTACTCTTGACAAAAGTCGATTCCTCTCATGGTTTCGACAAAATTTTAATTTTAGTGATTTAGAGCATAATTAATAATAAAACGATTAACAGATATTTCATAAAAATTGTTCAAAATGTTCACCATTTTCACGTATACAAAGATTTATACGACGCAAAAAGTTGAAATGTACAGGGTGCGCCTCTTAAAATGGAACCCCCCCTTAACTCTTTTGTTTTCGGTGATATAAAAAAATGTTTGATAAAAAAGTTGTTTGAAACGACCAAAACTTTCATTTCGTGAAGTTGTTTTATATACAGGGTCATTCGTTTTTCCAGGAAGAACATCAACTTTGATTTTTTCAATGGAACACCCTATATATTTTCCGACATGTCGATAGAGCTTTTTTTTCTGATTTCAAAAATATATATGAGTTGCATATTCGGATGGAGAATTCTTGAGTTATTGATGATCAAGGTTGACTAAAATATCGCTTCATGAATTCTCACTTTATATCATAGTTGAACATAGTGGGCTTTGAAAAAATATTCCATGGAAAAGTCAATAAACTACAAATCATTTTGTGGATAGATTTGGTATCACACTATAACACTAACTCATGCGTGGATGTCGAAATATCATCAAGAGTTCTTGACAACAAAACTTGAATGAATCTTTATAAACAATATTTATTGAATGAACTTTATGAGATGTATTCACAGAGCTTCTACAACAAATTTTAAAATTTTTATTTTTGTTATTTTATTTTTCAAGAAGTCAGTATCCGGAATATCATGTTTATAGATCTTGTCTTTCAGCGCTTCTCACAAGACGTCAGGTCCGGGCTACGGGGCGGGTAAAATATTGGTCCTCGCATTCCAATGTCATAACTCTCATTGAGGTAGTTCGTGACTTCAATTCCATTGTGAGGAGGTGCACCATCCTGCTGCCATACCAATTGGTTTCGTCTATTCAAAGGGATTGCTTCATCAAGCAAGTTTTCAATATCACCTTGCAACATATCCAAATTTTTTCGCCCCAATGAAGATGGAACCAATTACTTTAGTGTTATAAACACTGCAAGTCATTCACACTTCTCCGGCCTTGTTTTTCAATCTTTTTCATTGCTCTCAGATTAACCGTGGCCCAGCTATGCTCATTTTTCCTATCAAACATTCCTGAAGTTGAAAATGAACACTCATCCGTGAATAGAATATTCTTAGTAAATTTTCATCGCGATTATGTCTTGAGGAAACAAATAATTCACTGGCATTACTTTTTATGGCTTCATACGATGCTTCTTCAAAACTCGTCTCACACTTGTCGTGGATATATTGAAGTAATTTGCAGCCATTCTTGTCGAACGACTCGGGTCTTCAATGAAATAAAGTAATATATTTTCCTCTGTCCCTTCTATGAGTACCGATTTTTGCCGATTCCTCTCCATATCACTCAAATCACCACTATCTCGTCTGAACTTCTCGAAGATTCTCTTGAAGGTATTCAAAGATGGAAGCGGACGATCACCAAACCGATGCGCTCTACGAGCAGCGGTTGCCTTTTTCCCGCAAGAAATGTATATTTCCAAAATTTCACATCTTTCATTCAAACTGTAACCCCTTTTTCATGGAGCTCAAACAATTTATAAACATTATTTCGAAACCCACTATGTTCAACTTACATTAGATGATATTACCTATGAAGTGAAGGTTCATAAAGCGGTATTTTGGTCAACTTTGATCATCAATAACTCAATTATTTTCAATCCGAATATGCAACTCATATATATTTTTGGAATCAGAAGAAAAAGCTCTATCGACAAGTTGGAAAATATATAGGGTGTTCTATTGAAAAAATCAAAGTTGATGTCCTTTCTGGAAAAACGAATAACCCTGTATATGAAAAAACTTCACGAAATAAAAGTTTGGGTCGTTTCAAACAACTTTTTTATTTAACATTTTCTCATATCTCCGAAAACAAAAGAGTTAAGGGGGGGTTCCATTTTAGGAGGCGCACCCTGTACTCTTTGCATAACTTCTTCATCGCCTGTAAGATTATTCGTCGCCTGTTGGATACGTTGCCATAATTGTTCTACAGTATTCACAGGGGTCTTGTAAACCGTAGACCGTAGACGGTGTTAAGTCTGGAGAACGTGGTGGCCAATTCACGGGTGCATCATTACCTCTACCTATCCATCTGTCTGGGTACTGTTGGTTTAAAAAATTCCTAACATCCACCGAAAAATGTGGTGGAGCTCCATCGTGCATAAACCACATATCTACCCGATGTTGGAGTGGTAAATCTTCCAACAAATTTGGCAACGTATTTCGTAGATGTTGTAAATACATGTCTCCTGTTAATCTTTGTGGAAGTATGACAGGACCAATTATAAAATTTCCTATTATTCCAGCCCAAACGTTGATTTTGAATTCGTGTTGAAAATGGTTTATTTTAATGGAATGAGGATTTTCAATTGCATAAACGTGTTCATTATGAAAATTAGTTATTCCTCTTCTCGTGAAACAGGCTTCATCAGTGAACAAAATATTCTTTCCAAAGTTCAGATTCATTTCTCTTTGCAAATTAATGAACCTACAAAACATCAGACGACTTTGTGAATCATGGATTAATAAATCTTGAACTGGCGTCTTGTGGTATGGGTATAATAATTGTTCTCTTAGTACTTCATGAACGGCATTCCTAGAAACTTCTAGTTCATTACTTATCCGTCTAGTACTCAATTCTGGATTTTCTTCAATACGGTCTAAAATTTCTACTTCGACTTCGGGAATCCTTACATAACGCTGTCTTCCATAATCACCAGTTCTAGGAGCAAAATGACCGGTCTCCCGAAGACGTCTCTCAACTGCAGCAAAGGTTGGGTGGCTTGGTACGCGACGATTTGGAAACCTTGCCGAATACACCCTCACACTCTCTCGACCATTTCCTTGACAATATCCGAATACCAATAACATATCGGTGTATTCTTCATTGGTGTATTGTACGGCCATGATAAATCAGAAAAGTCCGATATCAACAATCAACGTCAATAAAACTCGACAAATCAACACAGATGAAACTATGGAAACCAAGAATGTGAATATCACTGTTTTCGAGCAGATAATAATAGTCTTCAGAAAAAAAAACCAGTGCTACTTATTTTCAATAGAAATAACCTATGCAAAAAGTACATCTCAACTTTTTGCGTTGTATAAATCTTTGTATACGTGAAAATGGTGAACATTTTGAACAATTTTTATGAAATATCTGTTAATCGTTTTATTATTGATTATGCTCTTAATCACTGAAATTAAAATTTTGTCGAAACCATTCGACCATTTGTCAAGAGTACCTTTTTTGTAGTGAATGAGTTGAACAATCTAGATTTCATATTGAAACTAACTTTTTCCATTGGCGTAGGAGTTTTAGATGTTTATTTACTGAAAAAAGCAAGTTCTACGCCCATGGAATGATATTCATTATGATTAGGATTTCAACTTTTTGCGTCGTATAAATCTTTGTTCACGCGAAAATAGTGAACATTTTGGAAAACTTTCATGCAATATCTATCAATCGTTTTATTATTTAAATATGCGCGAAATCACTAAAACTTAAATATTGTCGAAACCATCAGGGTAATCGAATTTTATCAAGAGTACCTTTTTTGTAGTAAATGATTTGGGCTATCTAGATGTCATACTGAAACTGATTTTTTTTCATTGGCGTAGAAGTTTTAGATGTTTATTTCCTGAAAAAATCAAGTTCTACGCCCATGGAATGATATCCATTATGATTATGATATGAGTTTCATTGCCCGATGAGTCTATGCCAACGTACCAAATTTGAAAAAAATCTCATGAGCCGTTCCAAAGTTATGAAGCAAAATCGATTTGAAAATTTCAACTTCAGAGCCGTCTAGCGCCCAAACTAAGCAACTTTTTACTGAGGTAAGTTTGCTTGTATCGAATTGTTTTGGTCTGAAGAAT